TTTAAAAAATAAATGTGGGCCGAAACCGATTTGGCTCAGTGGATAGAGCATCGGCCTGTGGACTCAAGGGTCCCATTTCGATTCTGATCAAGGGCATGTATATCTTCGTTGCGGGCACATCCCCAGTAGGAGGTGTGCAGGAGGCAGCTGATGGATGTTTCTCACTCTCTATCCCTCTCCCTTCCTCTCTGTAAGAAAAATCAAGCCGAAACCAGTTTGGCTCAGTGAGAGCAGTGTTTCCCAACCTTCTCTCATGATGAGAATCACCTGGTGGAGTTGTTAAAACACAGATTCCCGGATCCCAACTAAGAAGTGCTAAACTAGGCAGTGACCAGACACGGAGCAGCTGGTTGTGGAACAAACCAGAGCAACAGAGGCCAGGCCCGGGTCAGCCTGGCCCAAAACAGCTCGCTCCTCACCTGCCCCTGCCCCACGGCTGCCTCTCAGACATGGCTGGAAACTTTTGCGGGAACTTGAGGGTCTGCTGAATCAAGTGATGAAGGCTTAGATCTGGATGTGTTGAGTTAGTATAGTCCTGGGGTGTTGATCTGTGAGTGCCTTGGGTGGGGCCTGGATGAGGCTGGTTGTCCTATTAGGAAATGTCTTTTGTGTGAAGTGTATCATTGGGCATGTGGAGGTATTATTGATATGAGAAAATGCTAAGTAACAGATTTGCTATCTGAAAAGGGATTTACTATCGGGGAAAGGGAGGGAGGAAGAGACTGAACATAAACTGTGCACCAATGGATGAGGATGAGGGGGCAGAGGTTGGGGTGGGAACCTGGTGGAGGGGGGAAGAAACGAGGAACCTGTGTAATAATATGAACAATAAAGATTGATTAAAAAAAAAAAAAAAAAAAAAAAAAGAAGTGCTAAACTAGAATTTTTGGGAACATATAGGTAAAATTGTATACTTAACTAGTGCTCTAAGACAGATTTTATATACAGAGCACTAAGTTAGGTATGCAATTTTTACCTATATGTTCTCAAAAATTCTAGTTTAGCACTTCTTAGTTGGGATTCGGGAATCTGTGTTTTAACAACTCCACCAGGTGATTCTCATCATGAGAGAAGGTTGGGAAACACTGGGATAGAGCATCGGCCTGTGGACTCAAGGATCCCAGTTCGATTCTGGTCAAGGGCATGTACCTTGACTGCGGGCCCATCCCCAACAGGGGGTGTGCAGGAGGCAGCAGGTCGATGTTTCTGGCTCTCTACCTCTCTCCCTTCCTCTCTGTAACAAATCAATAAAATAAAAAAAAATCAATAAAATATATTAAAAATAATAGGGTACCACTGAGGCTCAGAGAGGTTCAGAAAGCTTGCCCTGGTGTGTGTGTGTGTATGTGTGTGTGTGTGTGTGTGATGGTCTTAGTGGCCACATGGCTCTGGATTCCTGCCCCCAAGGAAAGCCTCGCTGATGCCCACTTCTCTCCCCTCCTTTTGCAGGTACACGTCCCGCTCCCGCTGCTACTCGGAGACGCCCGCGTCCTTCCTGCGCTGGCTGAGCCAGCAGACGCGCTGGTCCAAGTCCTACTTCCGCGAGTGGCTGTACAACGCGCTGTGGTGACACCGGCACCACGCGTGGATGACGTACGAGGCGGTGGTGTCGGGCCTGTTCCCGTTCTTCGTGGCGGCCACGGTGCTGCGGCTGTTCTACGCGGGCCGCCCGTGGGCGCTGCTGTGGGTGCTGCTGTGCGTGCAGGGCGTGGCGCTGGCCAAGGCGGCCTTCGCGGCCTGGCTGCGCGGCTGCGGCCGCATGCTGCTGCTGTCGCTCTACGCGCCGCTCTACATGGGCGGCCTGCTGCCCGCCAAGTTCCTGGCGCTGGCCACCATGAACCAGAGCGGCTGGGGCACGTCGGGCCGCCGCAAGCTGGCCGCCAACTACGTGCCGGTGCTGCCGCTGGCGCTGTGGGCGCTGCTGCTGCTGGGCGGCCTGGCGCGCAGCGTGGCGCGGGAGGCGCGCGCCGACTGGAGCGGGCCCGCGCGCGCCGCCGAAGCGCGCCACCTGGCGGCCGGCGCCGGCGCCTACGTGGGCTACTGGGCGCTCATGCTCGCCCTCTACTGGGTGGGCGTGCGGAGGCTCTGCAGGCGCAGGGCCGGGGGCTACCGCGTGCAGGTGTGACCGACTCCAGGGATCCAGGAGGAGGAGGATGCACGGAAGATGGAGACACCTCGTGCGCCCCAGGAGCTGCGAATGAACTTGCTGGGGGGCGGGGGTGGGGGGGGGGAGGTCTCTGGGCCTCAGCTTCCCTCCTCTGGGAAGGGAGATGGTGGTGGTGGTGGTGGTGGGAGGGGGTACACTCAAGATTCTGCAGCCTGGACTGTTGTGGGGCTGGGACTTCTGGGTCTCTAAGGGGAGGGGGGGTATTTATTGATCAGGGTGTGATTTTTGATTTTTTTTTTTTTAGGGGCATGGGGGAAAGGGGCCCCCAGCTGCCCCCTGTTCTTAATTTAAATCTCCATGTGTACTGTGTGATTAGGGTGTAATAAAAACGTTTATTTATTTTTCTTCCCCGACACGTCTTTTTGTGGTTGTGAATGAAGGGGGGAGCTGTGTGGTTGAGGAGTGGGGACTTCTGGCTCAGCCCTCGGTGTCCAGCTTTTTAAAAAAAAATGTATTTTTAGCCCTAACTGGTTTGGCACTAGTCAAGGGGCACATCTTCTTCCTTCCCCTCAAAAAAAAAAAAAAAAAATCAATAAAATATATTTAGAAAATAAATATTTTTATTGCCTTCACCGGTTTGGCTCGGTGGATAGAGCGTCGGCCTGCGGACTGAAGGGTCCCAGGTTCGATTCCAGTCAAGGGCATGTACCTGGGTTGCGGGCACATCCCCAGTTAGGAGGTATGCAAGAGGCAGCTTATTGATGCTTCTTTCCCATCAATGTTTCTAACTATCCCACTCTCTTCCTCTGTAAAAAAAAAAAAATCAATAAAAAATATTTTTTAAAAATTATATATATATATATATATATATATATATATATATATATATATATCTTTAATGGATTTAGAGAGAGGAGAAACACCAATTGGCTGCCTCCTGCACGCCCCCTACTGGGGATCAAGCTTGTAACCCGGGCATGTGCCCTGACCGGGTATCGAACCAGCGACCCTCTGGTGCACAGGACCCCGCCCCACCCACGGAGCCACACCGGCCAGGGCCCGACAAGCTCTCTTCACTCACCTTTCAGAATGCCAGCTGCCCCGCTTCCCACTTCCCTTCTGGGTTCCTCTTCATGTCGCCTCCTGCGTAGCCTTAGAGACATTTCTTATTGTCATCGACTCGTCCAGCGGCACGCATTTCCTCTGTGCACCCAGCGCTCTGGCGCTGAGGCCTCACAAGCTCCGTGCCTGGAGAAGGGACTCTGAAGTGTTTATCTTCAGATCAGCCCTCGCCCCGGAATTCCAGACGCGCCCTCAGCGTCTGTTATCCATACAGTGGACATCCAATCAACTCATCACCTCCCTTGACTCAAAAAGGACCCATGAGCTCACACAGGAAAATCCAGACTCACTGACAGCGGCCCGCGTCCTGCGTGACCCGGTCCCGGCGCTCCCCATGACCTCACCACACACTCATTTCCTACAGCCAGGCGCCAGCTGCACTGGGCTCCCTGCTATCCTCCCTCCCCCCCCCCCCCCTTCCCCCTCCCACATGGCACATTCCAGCCTCAGGTTTTTTTTTTTTGTTTTTTTTTTAAATATATTTTATTGATTTTTACAGAGAGGAAGGGAGAGGGAGAGTTAGAAACATGGATGAGAAAGAAACATCCATCAGCTGCCTCCTGCACACCTCCTACTGGGGATGTGCCTGCAACCAAGGTACATGCCCTTGACCGGAATCGAACCTGGGACCCTTCAGTCCGAAGGCTGAGGCTCTATCCACCGAGCCAAACCAGTTACAGCAAGCCTCAGGGCTTTTCCTTCTGCTGTTTCTTTTGCTGGAATACCTTTATTATTTCATTTAAAAATATTTTTAAAAATATATTTTATTTTATTTTATTTTTTTACAGAGAGGAAGGGAAAGGGATAGAGAGCTAGAAACATCAATGAGAGAGAAACATCGATCAGCTGCCTTTTGCACACCCTCCACTGGGGATGTGCCCGCAACCAAGGTACATGCCCTTGACCAGAATCGAACCTGGGACCCTTGAGTCCGCAGGGTGACTGGTAAATGTAGGCATTGGCTAGACCAGTGGTCGGCAAACTCATTAGTCACCAGAGCCAAATATCAACAGGATGACTGTTGTCAAAAGTTTCTTTTGGGAGCCACATTTTTTTCAACTTAAAACTATTTAGGTAGATACAATGTTATTAACTTAATTAGGGAACTCCTAAGCTGGCCTTTGCTAAAAACTCAAGGGGCCAAAGAGCCGAATGGTGGCTCACAAGCCACAGTTTGCCGACCACTGGCGCTAGGCCTACGCAGTACAAATTTGAAATTACAGTAAGACACACAGAAAGCTTTTCTGTGAAATTAAACTTTTCATTCATACTTAACTTTAGTTACACAAATGTGTCTACCTAAGTAAAAACAGTAACCTAATTTGTCAATTTCTTTAACATGCGCATTCAGAAAAACCTACTTCATTATATAATGGCCTTTCGGCTTTAACACACTCACTGGCCCGAATGAGTCTGTAATTTCGAGGTTTGACTGTACATGTGAAGACTCGGGGAAGTCATAACCGAGTTAATCGGACAAAAAAAAAGGGAAGAGCCGAAACCGGTTTGGCTCAGTGGATAGAGCATCAGCCTGCGAACTGAAAGATCCTGGGTTCGATTCCGGTCAGGAGCATGTACATTGGTTGCGGGGGCAGCTGATCAATGATTCTCTCTCATCAATGTTTCTAGCTCTCTATCCCTCTCTCTTCCTCTCTGTAAAAAATCAATTAAAAAATATATTTTAATATATATAAAATATTACAGTCATTCCAGAGGCACAATTCCCGGGCATATTTGGGGCAGGAACCACCTTCAAAGATGAAAGCCTTTGTAGAGGTGAAATATATTCTTTATTTTAGGAACGGAAATAGGATAAGGAACAGAAAGATACCTGGGTTAGTTGCCACTGAAGTACCATAGAAAGAACGCCCTGGGGAAAGAAAGAGGCGGTTGTGTGTGGAGAAGAGAAGCTGGGGGAGCAGACAGATATCTGAGTCCCAAAGGTGGAGAGGGCCTGGGCCCTGCGTCTGAGGGAGGAGGGGCTGGGGGCCTGGGTCTGAGGGAGGAGGGGCCTGGACACCTGGGTCTGAGGGAGGAGGGGCTGGGGGCCTGGGCCCTGCGTCTGAGGGAGGAGGGGCTGGGGGCCTGGGTCTGAGGGAGGAGGGGCCTGGACCCCTGGGTCTGAGGGAGGAGGGGCTGGGGGCCTGGGCCCTGCGTCTGAGGGAGGAGGGGCTGGGGGCCTGGGTCTGAGGGAGGAGGGGCCTGGACCCCTGGGTCTGAGGGAGGAGGGGCTGGGGGCCTGGGTCTGAGGGAGGAGGGGCCTGGACCCCTGGGTCTGAGGGAGGAGGGGCTGGGGGCCTGGACCCCTGGGTCTGAGGGAGGAGGGGCTGGGGGCCTGGACCCCTGGGTCTGAGGGAGGAGGGGCTGGGGGCCTGGACCCCTGGGTCTGAGGGAGGAGGGGCTGGGGGCCTGGACCCCTGGGTCTGAGGGAGGAGGGCTGGGGGCCTGGACTCCTGGGTCTGAGGGAGGAGGGGCTGGGGCCTGGGCCCCTGGGTCTGAGGGAGGAGGACTGGGGCCTGGACCCCTGGGTCTGAGGGAGGAGGGGCTGGGGCCTGGGCCCCTGGGTCTGAGGGAGGAGGACTGGGGCCTGGACCCCTGGGTCTGAGGGAGGAGGGGCTGGGGCCTGGGCCCCTGGGTCTGAGGGAGGAGGGCTGGGGCCTGGACCCCTGGGTCTGAGGGAGGAGGGGCTGGGGGCCTGGACACCTGGGTCTGAGGGAGGAGGGGCTGGGGGCCTGGACCCCTGGGTCTGAGGGAGGAGGGGCTGGGGGCCTGGGCCCCTGGGTCTGAGGGAGGAGGGGCTGGGGGCCTGGACCCCTGGGTCTGAGGGAGGAGGGGCTGGGGGCCTGGACCCCTGGATCTGAGGGAGGAGGGGCTGGGGGCCTGGACCCCTGGGTCTGAGGGAGGAGGGGCTTGGGGCCTGGGCCCCTGGGTCTGAGGGAGCAGGGGCTGGGGGCCTGGACACCTGGGTCTGAGGGAGGAGGGGGCCTGGGGCTTGGACCCCTGGGGTTGAAAAAGGAGGGAACTGACACTCAGGGGAGCCTGGTGCTGAGATGTCCCGGGCCCCGGGTACTCACCAGGCCAGCAGGGTCACCCCGGCGGAGGCCAAGGCTGCGGCGGCCGCGAGCAGGAACAGGTTGCCGGACGTCAGAGCCCCAGGCTCGGCCAGCAGCTCGCCCAGCCCGGGCTTCCAGGGTTCGACCCCCTCCTCCTCCCGCGGGGCCCAGCGAACCACCTCCCGGAAGGTGCCCTGGAGCTCCGTCTCCCCGCGCGGGGGAGGGCCGGTCACTGCGGGGGGCGCACAGGTCAGCCCCGCCCCCGCCCGCAGCCCCGCCCCACGGCCCCGCCCCCTGAAGCCCCGCCCCGCCCCGCCCGCACCGTTGAGGAAGAAGTAGAGGCGCGCCAGGGGGAGCTGGTCGTGGGTGATCACGCAGGAGAAGGTGCCGCTGTGCGTGGGCTGCACGGGCCGGATCCGCGCCAGGTACCCGCGGGCCCGGGGCATCTCTCGGAAGAAGGACGTGTCCCGCGTCCGCAGCTGCGGGGACGCACCGCGGGGCCGGACCCCTAGGTCTGACTCCCATGGGACTCGCTACCGACCACACTTACAAGCCCCGCCCCCTAGCTAGGCCACGCCCCCTGGAGCCCCACCCTCCGCCCTTGTCGACCATTCAAGTATCCTCCTGCCTCTTGAATTTTTTAAAAAATATATTTTGATTTCTTACGGAGAGGAAGGGAGAGGGATAGTTTTAGAAACTTTGAGAAACATCCATCCGCTGCCTCCTGCGCGCCCCCTACTGGGGATGTGCCCGCAACCAAGGTGCATGCCCTAGATCGAAATCGAACCTGGGACCCTTCAGTCCGCAGGTAGGCGCTCCATCCATAGAGCCAAACCGGTTTCGGCCCGCCTCCTAAATCCTGACTCCGCCCCTGGGCCCTGACACTGGCTCACCCGCCCTTACACAATTACGCAAAGTCCCCAAGCGCGGGCGGGTCCGCAGTGTGAGCCTGGACTCCTCCCCTGAATGCCAGCACCCTCCCTCCCTCTGCACGGAGCCTGCATCTAGGCCGAGATCCCCACCCCCACCCCTACCCGGTATAGTCCCACCCCTGCGTCCTGACTCCCCATCTTCCAGGCAGCCTAACTGGCCTCCAAAACCCTCGGCGCGGGCTTCGCCCCCTACTCACACCTCCTTCCGCGAACTTCCAGGAGTAGGTGATCTCCTCTTTGGGCAGCTGGAAGTCCACGGTGCAGGAGAACAAGGCCTGATCGCCCCGTCGCACCGTCACGTCCTGAACTGGAGACCGGCCGCGTCACCACCTGGGCCCCGCCCTCGACCACGCCCCAACCACAAGCCCCGCCTAAACCACACCCTCCCCACATCCAGCTTAGCCTTAGACCACGCCCCTTCTCCTCCAGCCCCGCCCTCGACCACGCCCCCAAACCAGCTCAGCCCTCGACCACGCTCCCTCTCCCTCCACTCAGCCCTCGACCACGCCCCCTCTCCCTCCAGCTCAGCCCTCGACCACGCCCCCTTCTCACCAGCCCCAGACCACGCCCCTCTTCCAACCCCGCCTTCGACCACGCCCCCTCCTCCAGCTCAGCCCTGCCTCGGGTTCCTCTGGTTCCCGCCCTCCCCCCCCCACCCCCCCTGGCACCCCGCCCCTCACTTGGGCAGTCCAGCGGGAGGTCGCAGACCTTGGAGTAGCACCCGAGGCAGAGGAAACGCCGGGACAGCTCCTGGAACCCTGTGGGCGGGGACGCTGGGTCTGGGCGCCGCCAGCCGCCTCCCTGGGGTTCCGCCTCCCTGGGGTTCCGCCGGCAGGAAGCCGGGCCCCGCCTTCTCTGCGCTCATTGGCTGGTTCTCTCCATTCTTCGGCCCCCCCCCCCCGGGATTTTTTTTTTTCTTTTGTAGGTTTGCTTTGGCTTTGGACCCGCCTTTTATGAGGTTGGGGGAGCAATGCCTGCTTTTTTTTCTGCAGGGCTCTTACTGGCTTCCTTCGGATCTGAGGACCCCCTCACCCCCCCAGTTTCGGCCCAGACCGCGTCCCTCACCCCCTGCAATCCTGAGCTTTGAGTGACGTGCTTACCGCAGGGAGGGACGCAGGCCGGAACTGAGGAGAGAGGGGAAGCGTTTCAGCCCTGGGAGTGCAGGGAGGTGCCCACCCGGAGCTCCCCTAGGGGACCTGACTGAGCTAGGGGCATTCCACCAGGGGACCCGGCGGGACCTGCAGAACCCCACCCGAGGTCAGGCCCCGGTGGCTTCTGGCCATCTGAGAGTGGCACCGGCCTGCTGTGTGCAGAGGAGGTGGGGCCAGCCCTGGTGCATTCCAGCGAGGGGGCGGGGCCGGGCCCCTGGCGATCCTCTGGGGCCCACTTAGAGGTGTGGCCAGGCCTGAGGCCAGCAGCCGGCTTGCACAGTGGCGCAGGGCAGGTCCCAAGCCAGAGGCTCTGGCTAATCTGGGACAGGACCGTCCCAAGAAGGAATCTTTGCTGGGGAGGGAACCTCAGATCGAAGGGGCAGGGGGGTGGGCAGGTCCCCGGTGGTTCCTGCAGGACCTGTGTCCCACCCAGGACAAGCGGTTCAGAGATCCATTAGGCGAATGGCTGTTTTAAGACTGGGTTTTTAAATTTTTTTTTGTGTGTGTGTGTGTGCACCTGGGAGGAGGAGTTGGAGTCCATTTTACCTTTTTTAAGCTGTGCAATGACCTCCTGCATTTTCTTTGCAGCGTAAGGGAAGGCAACCAAATAGGACCCTGGAAGATGGAGGGAGGGAAGCCTTGTAGTGAAGACTCTCCCTTCCTCCACCGCCCCGTTCCCCGCGGCTGCCTGAGCTCAGCTGGACTCACCGTAATGGTGGCCTGTGCCTCTTCCCCAGCCCCTCTGTCTACCCGCTTTTGGTATAGTCACCATTTCCTCCTCTTACCTCCTCCCACCCAGTCTATTCCCAACCTCCTCCCTTCTTCCTCCTGATAGGGTCTCTGATGATAGCCCTTTTCTGCATCCTCCGTGTTTATCAGATTGAGGGGAAGGGGGAGGTTGAAAATCAGATACCCCACCAGGGAAGGCTTCATCCCCATTGTGCGTCTTTCACTTCTCCTTTGTGGGAGAGCATATTTCCCGGCACCTCAGGACCTTTGCACATGCTGGCTTGTGGCTAGGACATCTTCCCCCTTCTCCTCTTCATCCTCCATGCCATGCCTTCCACAGGCAGTGCGTACACACGTAGGCATGAGTTACAAAGGTGTTGTTTGAGAGCTCCTAGGAGTCACATCAGCCCTAGCTGGTTTGGCTCATTGGATAAGAGTTTGGCCTGCAGACTGAAAGGTCCCAGGTTCGATTCCAAGTCAGGGACATGCTGGTAGGGGGTGTGCAGGAGGCAGCCGATCAATGATTCTCTCACTTTTGATGTCTCTCCCTCTTCCTTCATCTCTGAAATCAATACAAAAATTAAGAAAAAAAAGTTCCTGAAAAAAAATAGTTCATGTCACCGAAACCGGTTTGGCTCAGTGGATAGAACGTTGGTCTGTGGACTGAAAGGTCCCAAGTTCGATTCCGGTCAAGGGCATGTACCTTGGTTGTGGACACATCCCCAGTGGGGAATGTGCAGGAGGCATCTGGTTGATGTTTCTCTCTCATCGATGTTTCTAGCTCTCTATCGATGTTTCTAGCTCTCCCTTGCTCTCTGTAAAAAATCAGTAAAATATATATTTTAAAAAATTTTACGTCATACTTTGAGTCACTTACTTAAAAGGTGTTCCCTGACTAAATTCCTAATATAACCAAGTTCCCTATTTTTCTTAGTTCCTCCTTCATTGCATTCATTGCTCTCGTCAGTTTGTAATTACTTATTTTATAAATATGGTGATCATTTAAAGTCTATCTCTTAAGTAAACATGTTCTCCTTTAGTGCTGTGCTCCTAGAACCCAGGAGCCGGCTCTGAGTCTTAGAAAGTGCTCAGTAATGCCCGGCCAGTGTGGCTCAGTGGTTGAGCGTCAACCCATGAACCAAGAGGTCGCTGGTTCCATTCCTCATCAGGGCACATGCCCAGGATTGCAGCCTCAATCTTCAGTAGGGAGTTTGCAGGGAGCAGCTGATCAAAGATGTTCCTCTCTCTCTATCCCTCTCCTTTTCTCTAAAAGTCAATAAAAACATTATTATTAAAAAAAAAAATTCAGTCATCACGTGTAGAACTCCAGTATTCAACTGGGATGGAGACCACATCGGTGGTGGCCTGTGGTCCAATTCCACCCACTGGGTGTTATATTTAACCTGGACAGTGTTAAAATAACGAACCAGTGGCCATTGTAAGATTTGGGGGAAGTCACATAGAATGTTTGCACATGCTTTAAAACATTTCGGAGAGCTGTAACAGACACAGAATTCCCACGAGGCTGCAACTAGCTGGAGCTTAGCAGCCACCACCCTCTTAGTCACGGCATGTACCTGACACCCTGCCATAACCCCCACCTGGATTCATTTCCCCTCCTCCTTCATTCCTTCACGTTCTCTGTCCTTATGGTGTTGGTGACCATCGCCTTCCAAACTGGAAGGTTCTGTGACTTTTTTTAAAGGGGACAGCTGGATTGTGTTTGGTGGTGGAAGTCATTTTGGAAGTCAGAAAAGCAGAGGGTGTGTTTTAGGCTAACTCCTGGGAGCTCAGAATGTGGCTGTACTTGGAGACAAAAGTCTTAAGGAGCGAATGAAGCTGAAATGAGGCCATTAGGGTGAGCCTCAATGCAATGGGACGGACTTCCTAGTTAGGAGGACATTTGGATTCACAAACACAGAGGGAAAGCCATACGGAAACACGGGGAGAGAGATCAACTACATCAAGGAAAGAGGCCTCTGAAGAAATCAACCCCGCTGACATGGATACCTTGATCTTGGACTTCCATCCTCCAGAATAGTGAAAAAATGTTTCTCTTGTTTTAAGCCACCCAGTTTGTGGTAAATACAGCAGCAGCAGCAAACTAACACACAGACATTGCTAATTTCATCCAAATAGCTTATTACTCTTTAAACAGAGTGCTTTCAGTCAGGAAAGCACTCCCGCTGAAAGAAAACTACATTTCCCAGCCTCCCTTGCAGCTAGCTAGGATCATGTGACCTAGTGATGGTCACATGACTAAATCATTGCTATTGAGATACAAGTGGAAGTGTCCTTGTGAGGGTCTCAGGAAGTAGCCTTCTTACTGAGGAACATGTGCCACCTTCTATCCTGCTGCTTGAAACTTGGATTTGGTGGCTGGGGCTCTACCAGTCACATAGGACCATGAGGACAAGGGGAACACTCTAGGATGACAAAGCAGAAAGCTGGGAGGGCCTTAGGTTCCCAAGAAAATGGAGCAGTCGTGCTAGCCTTAAGTGCCCATCTCAAACCTTGTTTGGTATGGGAGAAATAGGCTTCCCATGGCTTCAGCCACTTCGGGTTCCTCCGTGACTTCAAACCATATATATGAAGGGAGTGAAATGAGGATACTGGCAAGAGTGGCTGAGGCGATGATCACTGGGTATAAGCTGGAGAGAGGGGTACCGAAGCCAGGAAGTAGGTTTAAGATGAAGAGTCAAGGGCTTAAGAGGTCTCGTCTTGGCCACAGGACAGCCAAGTGGTCTGGAGAGGGCAGGATGACCAGGAAGATGTGATCAGGGTAGGACGCTCGTGTGAAAGACCAGGATGTCGGAGGAGTCACTCAAGAAATACCTATGGGCCAAACCAAGGGATTCATGGTGAGGGTGAATGAGGGACTTACCAAGTAAGCCATGGGGGCGGGGTGTTACAGATCCATGAAACCAGGGGAGGTAACAGTGGACAGGTCCAGAGGCCGAGAGGCAGGGGTCATATCAAACGGACCACATGGTGGTGCCAATGGGTGCCGTGAACTCTCTTCAAAAGAGTCGTCTTCTGGTTAGGAGCTTCCGGTGTTCCCAAGGCCTGGATCTGAGTCCTGGCTCTTCCACTTATGGGCACACCAGACTCACATCTGGTGGGACATCCATCCTGAGACCGCCCCCCTCTCCCCCATGTGACTTAACCTTCCTCACTTTCGTTCCTAAAATTGGGACAATATCAGGGTCTACCTTACTGGGTTTGGGGAACATTTAATGCCATTCAACATAAAAGCATTCCCACTTCCCCTACCTCCCCCAAATTGTGTGCCAGACACCATTTAGTGACCGCATGAGAGACTGCCTGTAACCACTTAGAAAGGTGCCCGGAACAGTGAGTGGTACCGAGGGGCCGGCCACGTACCATCCCCAAGTTTGAGATGGGGAAAGAGAGGTTAGCAGAGTGGCTCCGCATCAGAATGGCTAGATCCTAACCCAGGCGGTCGGGCTCCAGAGCTCCACAGGCAACCACTACTTCCAAATAGCTTATTACTCTTTAGTAACAGAATGCTTTCAGCCAGGAAAGCACTCCCAGCTAAAAAAAAAAAAAAAAAAAAAAAAAAAAAAAAAAAAAAAAAAAAAAAAAAAAAAAAAAAAATTCCCAGCCTCCCTTGCAGCTAGCGGTGATCATGTGACCTACCTCATGCTATCCACTCTATGGTTTATATATGCAATCTACCACATGCCACCTCTGAGACCCGCTCTAAATCAGCGTGTCCCTCCCTCTGGGAGAGACCCAGGATCAACCTTGCTCTTTTCCTATTGCTCTCACCTCACAGAACTCTGGTCCAGGTATCTTCTGGGTCTGTTCTCGTCTAGCTGAGCCCTAACTTAATATAGAAATAGGGGGTTTATAAAACCCCATCTGACCAGACTGGTAGGAGGCTATCCTTGAGAATGTGTCTGGCTCCATTCCCAGTGGACAGGCGTGCCAGAGACAGCCCGTCAATGATTCTCATCATTGATATTTCTCTCTTTCTCTCTCCCTTCCTCTCTGAAATAAATTAAAATTTTTTTAAAAAAATAATTCACCCTTGCCCTAGCCCAGTGGTTGGCAAACTGCGGCTCTTGGGCCCCTTGAGTGTGGCTCTTCCATAAAATACCACGGCCTGCGTGAGTCTATTTTGAAGAAGCGGCGTTAGAAGTTGAAGTTTTAAAAATTTGGCTCTCCAAAGAAATTTCAATTGTACTTTTGATATTTGGCTCTGTGGACTAATGAGTTTGCCGACCACTGGCCTATCCCATATATGGGGCAGGCTGAGCGTGCGGTCAGATCCTTGACTAAACCATCTTCTCCTCCATCTTCGTGTTCCATCTCCCTCAGCTCAGGACTCATCTTGACCCACCTGGACCACTGCCATTGGTGTGAGCCACCAACCAGTCACCCTGCTCCTGTCCGAGTCCCCCCAGCCTCCACATGTCCTGTCTCTTCTTAAGGCCAGAGTTGGTGCAAGGCAGCGGTTCTCAACGTGTGCTCCAGGGAACTTGTAAGAAACGTCCCATTTCTGGGCCATACCTCAGACCTACTGGTCAGAAATGGAGGGTTGGGCCCAGGACCCTGCCTTTGAACATGATCCCAAAAAGATTCTGAGAATTCGTACACTAGGGCTGGAGAATCGCTGATCTGCATGGTCCTACAGGAGGCAACCCTTTGCTGCCTCACTGATTTTTATTTTTCTTTTTAAAAAAAAATATATTTTATTGATTTTCTTACAGAGAGGAAGAGAGAGGGATAGAGCCAGAAACATCGATGAGAGAGAAACATCAATCAGCTGTCTCCTGCACACCTCCCACCGGGGATGTGCCCGCAACCAATGTACATGCCCTTGACCGGAATTGAACCTGAGACCCTTCAGTTTGAGTCTCTATTCACTGAGCCAAACCGGTTTCGGCTGCCTCCCTGATTTCGATTTCCCCTCAACGATATCACACCAACCACACTGATTGACCCCATGGCCTTCGCACTGGAGATTCCCTTTTCCTGGTATGTTTTCCTCCCAGGTTTTCTGCGTGGCTCTCATGGACAAAGGTCTTTGCTCACTTGGACTTTCTCATGTGCCCCTGTCCTGCCCAACCTGTTTAAAATGATCCACCTAGCCGAAACCGGTGTGGCTCAGTGGATAGAGCATCGGCCTGCGGACTGAAGGGTCCCAGGTTTGATTCCGGTTAAGAGCACGTACATTGGTTGTGGGCACATCCCCCGTGGGAGGTGTGCAGGAGGCAGCTGGTCAATGTCTCTCTCTCATCGATGTTCCTGGCTTTCTATCCCTCTCCCTTCCTCTCTGTAAGACATCAATAAAAAATAGCCGGAACCGGTTTGGCTCAGTGGATAGAGCGTCGGCCTGCGAACTGAAGGGTCCCGGGTTCGATTCCGGTCGGGGGTATGTACCTTGGTTGCCGGCACATCCTCAGTAGGGGGTGTGCAGGAGGCAGCTGATCGATGATTCTCTCTCATCAATGTTTCTACCTCTCTATCCCTCTCTCTTCCTCTCTGTAAAAAAAAAAAAAAAAAAAAAAAAAAAAAAAAAAAAAATCAATATTAAAAAAAAAAATCAATAAAAAATAAAAAAAAATAAAAAATGATCCACCCCCGGGGCCCAGTCCTGTTGTCCCCTTCCGTTTCCCTCCACAGCGTGGTTCACCAATGGACACACTGTAGTCGTTCATTGATTACGTCTCCTCGTCTGTCCCGCCCCCCCCCCCCCCCCCCCCCCCCCCCCCGCAATAAACGCCACCTGAGGGCAGGGGATTGTCAGCGTTGCTCCCGGTACATTAAACATCTCTCTGCAGAACGTATTGCACCTGCTTCTCCCGGCCTCCAGTAGGTCCTCACACAGCCCCAGGGCGTCTTTCTATGCCCAGAGCGGCCCCTGCCCTCCCCATGCTCACAAGACAGAGTCTCAAGTCTCCCTCACCTTTCAGCTACACCCTGGACCCATTTATCCAAATGTCCCCCGAGTCTCCCACAGTCACTATGGCCTAGCCCAGCCCATCTACCCCCACTGCTTCTTTTCCTAGACACCCCGTCCCCCCCTCCCCATCTGAGGGAGGACCCAGCACCCACCCACAGAGCCCAACCCCAGGCCCTGTCCTCTAAGCGTCCTCTTCCCCTCTCCCCGGGGAGAGACCCAAGCCGCATCCATCCTGCCCTGGGCTCCCTCAGCCCTGTCCCTCTGTCCTCTCTCCACAGCCCCCGCCCCAGCTCAAGCATCCTTCACCCCATCCTCCATCCAGTCCTCCCCGCCTCCATTCTGGACTCCCGCCCCTTTTCAACATCCTCTGGGACAACATGGCCCCTGAGGGGGGAAAAGGCGTTTCCCGGGGTCCTGCCCTGATCCCTTGGCCCCCATCTCTGCTTCTTCTGGTCTTTCTGGGGGTGGGTGGATGGCAGCTGAAGTCTCTTCCAGCCCCGGACCCCCAGACAGCCCCTGGAGAGGTGGGCTCCTTCCCACCTTTGGGGATCTCTCTGTCAAAACGTTTGGTGGGGCCTAGCTGGTTTGGCTCAGTGAATAAAGCATCAGCCTGTGGACTGAAAGGTCCCAGGTTCAATTCCAGCCAAGGGCACATGCCTGGGTTGCAGGCTCCCAGCAGGAGGCGTGCAGGAGGCAGCCAATCAATGATTTTCTCTCATCATTGACGTTTCTTTCCCTCTCTCCCTTCCTCTCTAAAATCAGTAAAATATATATTTTTTAAAAAATGTTTGGTGGGCAAGAAGTAATGGCAGCGGTAGAAATAAGCCGTGAGCCCCCAGACCTCCGAGGGGGCCAGTTTACGCCACACCAAGAGCTGGGCCTCCCTGCCTCCCCCAGCAGTTCCTGTCCCGGCATAAGGACCGTGTGCTCCATCCCAGAGGAAGATCTCCTGTTTGAGGTCCTCTCCTCAGGGAACCCCCTCCCCCTCTCTGAGCTCCCAAGCCATCCCGGGAGGCAGGGAAGTGTCCCATGTCACAGGTAGGTAAGTCGAGGCACAGGAGGAGGCCGCGACGCGTCCTGAACTTCATGCCCAAGAAGAGCCACACACACAGCCAGGCCGGAGCTCCCACCTACCTGGTCCGGCCTGGGCTTCCGGCTCTGGGGTCTACAGGGACTGTCCCTGCACCTCCCGCCTTCACGTCCCCGACAAGGAACTGGCTACCCAGCGGCCCCTGCTCCTAGACCACTGCCACATTCCAGGGGCACCCCCCCATATCTCCCTACCCCCCCATATTCCCCTCCCCTCCCTTCCCCCACCCCCGCACACGCCCCCATCTCTCATGGGTCCCAAGCCCGCATCTTCCGCTGCTGCCGTCCAACACCCCCTCCCCCCACTCACCCCGAGCGGTGGCTATCTCCTGGAGGGAGAAGGTGATCTGGGAGAAGGAGTCATGCAGGTGGCCTCTCTCATCGTAATCTGGGGGTGCGGGTGGGGGTGGGGGTGAGGCAGAGGCTGAGGGAAGCAGCCCCCCTAACCTATCACCTGTGCGGACATGCTCTATCTCTTCTCTCTAAGGCTTCGTCCTGGATCTACGCGTCTCCGTCCTCCCATCTAAATCCTCCTCCCTCCGCCCCAGCCCGGAGGTCGGCAAACTGCAGCTCAAGAGCCACAGGCAGCCCTTGGGCCCCTTGAGCGTGGCTCTTCCACAAAATACCACGGCCCCTGGGAGAGTCTATGCTGAAGAAGTGGCGTTAGAAGCAGTTTAAAATATTCGGCTCTCAAAAGAAACTTCAACCGTCCTGTTGATAGTTGGCTGCCCGCTGCCCTAGGCAGTTTGGCTCAGAAGGAAGGGTCCAGAGTTCAGTTCCGGTCAAGGGCACGTACCATCGTTGCAGGCTCCTCCCCCCGATCGGGGCTCTCATTGCAGGAGGCAACCCATCCATGTGTTTCTCTCCCATCAATGTTTCTCTCTCTGTCTTTCCCTCTCCCACTCTCTCTAAAAATCAGTGGGGGAAAAAATCCTTGGTTGAGGATTACAAAAATAATGAAAATAATAAATCCTGCCGAAACCGGTTTGGCTCAGTGGGTAGAGCGCCGGCCTGCGGACCGAAGGGTCCCGGGTTCGATTCCGGTCAAGGGGCATGTACTTTGGTTGCAGGCACTTCCCCAGTAGGGGGTGTGCAGGAGGCAGCTGATCGACGTTTCTCTCTCATCGATGATGTTTCCAGCTTTCTATCCCTCTCTCTTCCTCTCTGTAAAAACTCAATGAAATATATTTTAAAAATAAAAATAAAAAAATAAATAAATAAATCCTCCTCCCTCTGAGTCTGTCTCCTGAGCCTCTCTCTCTCCCCGGAGCCTCGATCCTCCCCTCTCTGCATCTCTACCTTCAGTCTCAACCTTCCCCTCTCTAAGCCTCTGTCCCTCATCTCTTGTCTCTTGCGCCTCTGAGTGTCTCCCTCCTCTCCCCCCTCCAGTCCCCCATCTCTAGCCTCCTGTCCGCTGGAGTCTTTGTTCCCAGTTTCTGTCCGGCTTCTATCCTCCCCTCTGAGCCTCTGTCCCCAGTTCCTATCTGCCAGTCTGCTGTCAACTGTTGTCTCTCTCTCATGCTGGGTCTCCCCAGACCTCTCTGCTCCCCCGAGCCCCCCCCCCCCCCGGCCCCGGAGGAGGGAGGAAGGTGGGGGTCCCCTCACTGATCTCAGCGTCCTGGAGGCCCTTAAACGCGTCGGAGAAGGCCTCCTCACACTTCTGCACTCTCGGGCCCTCCACCCCCACGAAGATCTGGCAGATGCGGTGGCGCTCGCTGTAGGATGTGAAGCAGAGGAGACAGGCCCAGGCCGGGGCCCCCGCGAAGGCCGAGAGGGCCACCAGGGCAGCCGGCGGGGCCATCGCAGAGGGGCTGGGGCTGTGTGGAGGGGAGTGGGGGGAGAAAGACAAGCAGCGGCTGACCTTTGTGAGGTCACTGTGGGACAGGGGAGGGAGGGGCCTGTGGTCTGAGGTCAGAGGCCAGATTCCTCTGGCAGGTCAGATGTCAGGCTTGGGGTTGGAGGGAGGCAGGAGGAGGAGAGAGGGGTCAGGGGTCAGGTGTCGGGCCCTCAGCCTCCACGCTGTGCGGTAGGGCCGGATGCCAGGCTCCCAAGAACCTCACCTGTGATCCTGGACGTCCTCACAGGTTAAAGGGTCTCAGGGACCCAGAGGCCGGCAGTAAGGGTGTGTGGTGGCCCGACAGGCCCTGGGGGTGTGTGTGTGGTGGTGGTGGTGGTGGTGGTGGAGGGTCAGAGAGAGAGAGAGACGCTGTGAGCGACCCCCTCAGACACAGGGAGACACCAGGACACACGATGAGAGAAAGAGATAGATGGAGAGGACAGCGGCGATGGGAGACAGAGAAAGCAGACCAGACGAGGCGGGATCCGGGCGGGAAAGTCTGAGAGAGGGAAGGGGAGGGAGGAAACGAAGGAACCAGGACAGGAGAGGCAGCCCTGCTTGCTTGCTTGCTTGCTCGCTGGCCCGCTGGCTCGCTCCTCCTCCCAGGGTCCCGGTGGCAGCCCCCGGAGCCCAGCGGGGTGGGGCAGGGGCAGGGGGGAAGGTCCCCGCCGGGTGGGCGTCCCGTGCAGGGCGCAGCCTGGGGAAAGCTAGGAGGCCGTATAGTGATCTCCGTGGGTGTCCTCCTCAACTATACAACCTCCTACCTCAGCCCGGGGGGCGCGGCGGGAGGACAGACAGACGGATGGACGGACAGACGGGGGGGGGGGGGGGGGGGGGGGGGGGGGGAAGGGAGGGACAGGGAGGGTGGGGGAGGGCCGGGGAGGCCCCCGCTGCGATGGTGAGCCCCCGACACGGACCCACAGACACGAGCTTGTGTGCGGCGAAGGCCCCGCAAGGTCGGTTCTACGGGTGGGTGCCAGGGCCCAGGGATGCGGGCCCCCGGCCCCCTCCTCCCCTGGGGAACCCCCGGGGAGAATCAAATCCCTTGGGGGGACGGGGGGGGGGGGACGACCCAGGAGTTCAGTGCCCCCCAATCCCCCCAAACCCACCCCATTCCTTCCTCCCCAAGGTCCCTGGAGTCCAGGCCCAGCCCCTCCTCCTCCTCCTCCCTCAGCCCCAGTCCAGCCTGGACCGGCTCCCTGGGGGGGGGGGGGGGGGTCAGGCACAGGCTGCCCCGCTTCCTGGAAATCTCACCTGGTCCGGAGTCCGGCCCCCCGGAAACCAGGGGGCTCCCCACCCACCTGTCAGGCGCAGGAATCCGGCATCCGGCCCGGGGGACACAAAAGCTTCCTTTCCTCTCTCCCCTCTCTCATCCCTTCGGGCGGCCCCTCGTCCTTTATGGGGAGGCAGCTGTGGTCCCCAAGATCCAGCATTGTCCCAGGGACCTCCAGGACCCCCCCCCACGCCCCCCTATTTTGCAGGTGGGCCTCGGGGAGCTCCAGGACTTGGCTGCAAGCGGGGGGAGGGGGCGGCTTCCCAGGTGGGCGGCACCCAGCACCCTCCCTCCCTCCCTCCCTCCGGGGCTCGGAGACTGTGCCCCGGGGGCCCCTCCGGCTCGCTCACTGCCCCCCCACCCTGCCCCGTCCCCCCAGCTCCAGCTCCGGCTGCACGGTCCACGCTGGCGGCCGGAGGGGCGGTCTTGGCCTCACCTGGATCCCATCTCCGCCGGCATCCGCGCCCCCCTCCCCCCTCCCGCCCCGCGGTCCTGCCGGTCCCCCTGGCCCACAGGTCCTTTCTCAGACTCCCGCGTCCTCCCCGCCCTCCCTCCCCTCATTCCTTCCCTTCACCTCCTGTCTTTCTTCCTCCCTCCCTCCCTCCGCCCCCCTCCCTCCGTCTTTGTCCCTCTCTCTCTCTTATTCTCTCCCTCAATTTCCCAGTCTCGCTCCCTCCCCCTCCTCCCCATCCCCCTTCTTTCTCTACATCTCTCAACCGCCCCCCCCCATCCGTGTGTGTGTGTGTGTGTCTCTCTCTGTCTCTCTGTCTCTGTCTCTCTCTCCTTCTTCCCTCGCCTCCTTTCTCCTTCCCTCCCTCCCTCTTACTTAGGTCTTTCTCCTCCCTTCCCCCCCCAATCCCCTCCCTCCCCCATTCTCTTTTCTCTCTCTTTCTCCCCCTCCCCCCAATTCCCTTCTCTCTGGCTGTCTCCCTCCCTTCTTCTCTCTCTCTCCCCCCCCCCATTCCCTTCTCTCTGTCTTTCTCCTCCTCCCCATTCCCTTCTCTCTGTCTTTCTCCTCCTCCCCATTCCCTTCTCTCTGTCTTTCTCTTTCCCCCCCCCCCCCCATCCCCTTCTGTCTGGCTGTCTCCCTCCCTTCTCCCTCTCTCTGTCTTTCTCCTTCCTTCTCTCCCTCCCCCTCGCCGCTCCGAGCCAGGTCTGGAGCTGGGGGTGGGGTGGGGTGGGGGTGGCTGGAGAAGGGGCCCCGGGCTGGGGTAGCGACCTGCTGAGGAGGGGGAGGAGAGGCGGGAAGGGGGCGGAGGAGGAAAGGGGGGGAGGAGGCGAGGGGCCCAGAGACTGGTCCACGGTCCCAGCTCTCATCCCCCCCAGCCCCCCTTCCCTCCTTCCCCACCTCCCAGACCCTCCGGCGGGGGCGAGAGTCAGGCCAAGGTGGGGAGGAAGGGGAAGGGAGGAGGCTGTCCCCGCCGCCCGCCGCGCCCCCCCCCCCCAACAACCTGGCCCGGAGCCCAGGCCTGGTTCCCAGCATGCCCCGGGGCTGCCTGGGGCCTGAGGAGGGGGATGAGAGGAGAGAGGAAGCCGAGAATCTTTAAAAGATTCTCTTGGACCCGATCGCCTGCCCGCTTGCCCCCCCCCATCCCCCAAAAGATGTCTCCTCGGGGAAACTGAGGCCCCTGGAGAGAGAAGGGTCAGGATGGTTCAAGGTCACGGGACCTCCCCCTCCTGGGCCCGTCGAGGCGCGATTTGGGGAAGGGGCTGGCGGCACTTCCCCCAGGTCTCTCTCCGTCCCCCTCCCCCCCTCTGCAGACCCTGGGGAGCCCCCAGGGGTCAGAGAGCAGACCCAAACAGTCTGGCACCATGGCAACCGGGCGGCCCCGCCCCCTCGGCCCCCCGCAGGGATGGAGTCCAGCTGGGGCCGGAGAGGAGGTGGGGACGCCTGGGTTCTGGGGAGGAAGGGGCTGGGGGGGGGGCTGGCCCTAGCTCTGGGGGTTCGTGAAGGGGGGGTGGGGCTGGCGTGTGCACCCCCAAAGTCTGAGGCTAGAGGCTGGGGAGCCAGGCTCCCGGGTCCCGGGCTGCAGGGGGCTGGGGCGGGGTGGGGGAGGGGGGAAGGGGGGCGCGGGTTCTGGAATTCGGAGGGAGGAAGGGGCTGGGCGGCGGCGGGCCCCCAGGTGGAGGGGGAGAGGGGGGCTGGGCCTTGGAATCCCAGGTCCCCCCAGGGGGAGCCCGGGCGGGCGCGGGGCCTCTCCGCCGCCGCCGCCAGACATCCCCTGCCCCCGCCGCTGACCCTGGCCTGTCTGGCGGCCCAGACGCCCTCCCCCTCCCCGCCGCCCCCTCCCCCCGGCGCGGCTCACCCTTGACCCCGCGAAGCCCCGCAGCCGCCTCCCCGCCCCTCCCCCGCCCGCCGCCCCGCCAGACAGACAGACGTTAACCCTCCCGCCGCCGGCGGCCCGCCGCGGCCGGACCCGCGCCCGGGAGGCACCCCCGGTCCCCCCCACTTCACCCCGCGTCTCCTCCGGCTCGGGATCGGGGTCCCCCCACCCCATCCCTCCTCCAGGGGATGTTCTCCGCCCTCTCCTCCCCTGGATCCCCAATCCACCCCCCACCCCCAGCCACCGCCTCCAAGAATTCCGGAGCTCGGGTTCCCCACCTACCCCGTCCCCCCCCGTCCCCCCAGATCCCGGGCCCCCCGTGCCTCCTCCTTCCTCGGGGACCCCGGGAGGGGGGACCCTCCCGCAGACTCACGGCTCCGCGGCTCCCGCGTCGGAGGGAACGGTCTCCGGCCCCGCGGCCGCCGGCGGCTCTCCATCCTCCGCCCGCGGCCGCTCCCGCCGCCTCCCGGCGCCCGCTCCGGCCCCGCGGCCCGGCCCGGCCCGGCCCCCGCGCCCCGGCCCCGCCGGCCCCTCCGCCCCGGCCCCGCGCCTGGCTTCCCCGGCCCCGCCGCTGGCCGCGGTCCAGGGGAAAAAATTCCATCCCGCCCGCGGGGGAGGCGGGGGAGGCGGAGGCCGCCGCGGAGCGTGACGCAGGGCGGAGGGAAGGGACAAAAGGGGCCGGAGAAGGCGGCGGGCCCGGCGCTCCCGCCCTCCGCCGCCGCCCCGCCGCCCGGCCCGGCTCCCCGGCTCCCCTCCGCCTCCCGCTCCCCCTCCTTCCTTCCCCGGCCAGCCTCCCGGCCCGGCGCA